CGAGCCAATCTTACCAACCACTTCTTGTACGTGGCATCGGACTCGTGGGGCGCTAAGAACTACCCCGTGAAAGGTCAGGAGAACGCGGCAGAGGGCGCCATCACCATCTTGCCCAAGAAGACCAACATCCTCGGTAAGTTCGGTTCGGTCGAAAAACCAAAACCAAACTTAATTTAAATGTGTCAAATTCTAACACGTTCAGTGTGCCTCGTTTTTGGTGCCCAACATGAGTGGATAGAGAACGTTATGATTTTGCACGCGTGCCGTTGCGGCTTGTGGAGAGCTCTGATGTCCCCGCGCTAGTTTGCGGATGTAGTTTTGCACGTTAGCGGATGGGTTGGCTGTGGCAACTCTTTCGCAGCGCCCCCACCGCCGACCGCAGTGCCTGCTTTAGTTTGTTGAAGTTGTTTGCACTCGTTTACTCGTGTTTTTGCGTTTTCTTTTATAAACGACGACTGTTTTAATTCAGTTTGCCAGCGTTTACACGTAATCCCACGTATGTCTGTTGTCTCGTTTACTGAAATATGTCATCAAACGCAGTGGATTCTCCCTCGACTTTATCTTGTTTTACAAAAAAAAAAAAAAAAAGAGTATTCGTTTTCCCTTTATTATTTTTGGGGTGGGGCGAAATGGTATACATAACGTATCAGTCGTACGCTTTCATCTGGCAAAAACGGACGTCATCGGTGGCTCTGTCGGGGTCAATAATAACGATAGAATTGAATATGAAGCGATGCGCATTGTTGGCTGCACTCTACGGCGCGCGATTCTGCAATTTGCCTTATTCGCTTGGGATTACTGCATGCTACTACACAATGCCATTCGCGCTGCCGACTGCCAGCTGCCACGCTGCCGACTACTAGGTGCCTCTTCACAACCTCGGTGACTGATGGACGAATGACTGTGCTAATAGGGCGGGAGTTTGCGCCCTGTACCGTTGCATTTGAGCCCCCCTCCCCCCCCCCCTCGTGGTACGGAAGTGCCCCCCGGTGGGTTGGGAAGGGGTGGTGGGTAAGAGAGGGGGTAAGGGAAAGGTGGGATTGCTTTGCCGCTCGGCTGCCCTGAACACGACGGGAGGAGCGGTGGGGAAGGGTGTGTGAGTGGGGGAGGGGGAGTATGGGATGGATTATAAGGCGATATTGCTCGGAGTAATGCCCAGGGCCGGTGAATAGCGGGACACACACGTGAGGTATAGCCACTATGGGCTGTGGGAGCACTTGAGCCCTTCTTACAAAATTGAGCGCTTTTTGTAAATTCATATTTTTGCACAAACCCGTAAGGGTCGTTTCTACTACTCGCCGCTAGTTTGTTGGAGCGTTCGTAATATCCCCTATTTGTTTGACCTCTTTCTTTACTGTTCCCGCTCAGCCCGAGCAGTGTGTGTATCAAGCGGTTTCTAATTACGCGTCAGTAGTTTTTTTCCCATTTGCCTATTTCCCTCCTTTTCCCCCTCATTTCGTCGTGTCATGGCCCCCGGCTAAGCCCAAAGGCTGTCTCTCTCTGCCTTCTTAGGCCGCCCGAGTCGTCCTCTGCGAAGAAAAAAATTACTCACTGCACTCAGCATCCGCTTTTCTCTTACATTTAGTCCACTACAAAAACAGACATTTATTTTAAACACTCCTATGACTGCTCGTAAATAAATAAAAAAACAAACTTCCAGAAATTTTCTTAATGTTCAGGTCAAAATTATAACGAAGAGCCCATAAAAGGTTATACCAATTAGTGCCCCTAAAATTGAATAAATGTTCCCGGTTTACTCAGAGGAAAATACTGTCGGGAATTTTCTTCAAACATGCCACCTTTTCTTCAAACTTGTTTTATCGCCGGTGTGCTCCGTTTGCGTAGATTGTCAGTATAGGCGTCCTTAATTATTCACTAACTTGTTCGTTGTGCGATATTACTATGGCTGAGTGTCTTGTTCGTGCCCGCCACAAAGGTCTTGCCTCTGCTCAGCCCCGGGCCGCTCGGCCCCGCCCGCCGGGCAGCAAGCATCTCAGAGCAGGAGAACGCGCCGCTCGGGGCGTTTGGTCCATTTCACCCGCAGATCCCTGCGGCCGAATGATGCTTGCGTAAGATTTAACCTTTAAAGCCGTTGTCACTCGGCCACGCTCCGCCACGCTATGCTCCGCCACGCTCCGCCACGCTCCGCCACGCTCCGCCACGCTCCGTCACGCCCTTCCCGAGGGGCCCCGGCCGGGGCTTGCGTGTGTAATTAATTTACCCTGATAAAGAGGCGCCGGGGCCTCGTCGCCTCACCCCGCTACACCACGC